TACAGTTATGCTAATCTATTATTTCGTTTATTGCATTGTTTATTGTGTTTTAAATTTTTGTTATTTTACATAACTACAATGTGAGATATTAGTTATTTAATATTCACATATAAGAGTGAAGAAAAATAAAATGAATCATATTAAAATGAATCATAAGCACATAATTAATTATAAGCTAACGATTAGTGCTGGTCATTAAATAATAATAATAAATATGCATTGGTAGTGTGTGAGAGATCTAAGATAATGTGTCTATGCGCAAACAAAACCCATAGAAATTGTAGAATTACTTCGCATATTTACCCTTCTCCCACCCCGAGCGCGCTGTAACTGGCCATCACCAACAAAAACAAATCAATAGAATAAATATCGTTTAATAAAAAAAATAAATCGCATCCTATATGTGTAAGTACCAGTATGCTGTCTAAAATTTTATGTATTTTTAATGTAGAATATTATAAGTCTAATAACAAACAAAATCTTACTTAAAGCTTAAAGATAGAATGTAATATATATATATTTACGTAAATAACACATTGGCTTTCTAATTTCAAATTGTTCCAATTAAAATAATCACTCTGTTTCATAGTAAAGATACAATAAATTATTATTTATGACTAATAATATTAATGCTATAATTAAACTTAACTAACATATAGTTTATATGTTAATAACACATTATTCAATATATTAATCTAGTGGATTTTTAAAACATATATTTATTTAGTTAGAAAGGTCAAAAAGCATGAGCAACATTTATTGGATCTTTAAAAATAAACTAGTTTATTATAATACATATAAGAATATAATACATATTAAGAATTAAACTAGTTTTTAATCTATACATTAATCGGAAATGTTTTGACTGTATTAAGTCTTCTTCAGTCCATATACAAAAATTAATTAAACATTAGAAAGAAAGATACAATATATTAAAAACATAAAGTCATATCAGTTTCATGTTTTTAATATATTGTATCTTTCTTTCCAATTATTATTTTAATTATTAATTTTTGTATAGATTGAAGAAGACTTATAGAAACATTTCCGATTAATGTATAGATTAAAAACTAGTTTAATTCTTAATGTATGTATTGACTAAACTAGTTTATTTTTAAAGATCCAATAAACGTTGCTTATGCTTTTTGATCTTTCTAATTACTATTAAATTTTTGCTTAGCAATCTCGAGCTAGATATTTTACATATTTCAATATATTTATTTCTTTCACATCTCTTCAATATAATACAAATGCTATTATATTCGCATATATTTTTTCGTATAATTATAATCACAGTTCTCTACTTACGTTATTCATGTATTCACTTAGAAGATCTTGAAGCGCCTGTCTGACTGCGTTACACTCAGCAACGATGCGCTCTCTACGTTCGTCCCGAGTGCACGATGAATCCGCCATCAATGCGGCACCGCTGATAATACTCTCTAATCTCTCTTCGAGACTCGGTCGCGTACGAACCTCGTTATAGGCGAGCGGAGACATCACCATCCTCTCGTCGAAGTCATCCAATGCAGCAGCCAATTCGCCAGGGCCATCGTAAGGATGTTGGCTGTCAGGCGGCGTTTTCCCTTGAGCAACATCATTTATCGTGTTCACGGCTTCGCACACTTGTTTCAATACGTAATCGCGATTTGCCTTGGCCGCCGCCAAATCGGGATGCTGCACGTAAACCTTCGACGCAGTGAGCAACATAGTGGAGTGTTTCTTCAAAACGGCCCGGGCGGCCGCCAAATCGTCTCTAAGCTGTGGATCTTTCAGCTCATGTTGACGCTTGGCCGCCTGATGAATCAATTCGGCGGCGTTTCTACCAAATTCTTTGATATTCTGAATTAGTTCTCCCTGCGAAGAAGCGTTCTTTAATTTCTTCAGATCATCCTCCACAACATACAGCGATTTCAAAAGATGATAGACGTCCACCATGTCTGCTAGAATGAGCAAACGGGTCACCGCTGACAGCAAATTCCTCGCGGCGCGCACCATGTTGCCTCGTTTCAAAGATGAACATGGATCCTCGGAAAATTCTCTGCATAAATAAATTTCCATATTGTATTAATGAAGCAGGAACATGGTATACTAACTATAATTAGCAGATTGATTATAGGTGAATTTATTTATTGTACCTGGCAGCAATGCTCATTGCTGCTCCTGTCTTCCTTACTTCCTCTACGGCACTTAGCATCTCCGCTGTGATATCTGGATTTTCATAGGCAATCTTCTCCCCCTTTTCAATAAAATTAGCAGTTGCCTTTTCCACAGTTCCGACAAGCGCGCTTGCTCTTTTCGACTTTCCTTTCTTCTTTTTGCTGGGCCCTTTCGTGTTCACCAATGTAGTAACTTGGAGCACAAGCGGCTCTAGTGTCTTTTCCACGGACATAGTCCGTATCTCCAAGTTCTTGGGATCCCATTTTGGAGCGATTGGTCCAAAGTGGTCGGACATATTTATCGTATTAATATTTATTCTGCAATTGTAAAAAAAGGTTTCCAGTATGTAAATTTATAATGCCAAACTTGCAAGTATAAAATAATTCTGAAATTAATGCTTAATACATGTGTAAAGTTTTTTACATTATTGATATGTATTAGCAATAAAATTTTTTTCTAACATGCATTTTTATAAAGCGTTTTCTTTCTTATTTAATTAATTCTTCAAACCAATTTAAAATTCTTCTACAATTTTTTCAAATTTTACAATTTGAAGTCACAGCGCTTATAAATTTTATTCAATTTCATTCTATAACAAAAATATAAATAAAAAATAATTTTAATATAATTGAATTCATACTAATTACTTATAAGAATTAACTATTGTTTAAATCAAGTAAGAATCAGATTTTTTACACAAATGCTGAGTTTTTCATTAGTTTTTCCCAATATTTCCTTAATCTTTTTTTCTAGCTGATTTTAATTTTTAACTAAGGTCCACATACACAAACACAATTCTACATACAAATAAGATTAATTTTGATTTTGGTTTAACTTTCTATTTATTTTTTTCTAATTGTTCGAATTATGTCTGTTTCTACCAATGCAATCTAATCTAAATTCAAACTGTTAATCTTTTCTAATTCTAAGAATTATAAAAAGATAAAGAGCAAATAATTAAATCAAGATTAAAATCTTATTAAATTAATCTTGAATTGGTAGAACCGAACAAGTAAATTTATCGATTCTATAAATAAAAAACAATTATCGAAAATCAAATTAATTAAAATATTCGGGTCAGGAATTATTCTCTTCTATCAAACGTAAGTATCATGGATCATTCCTTTTCCACCTTTGTATCCTCGGTCAGCGAATGTACGACAAGAACTCGTGACGCTCCAGAATGAAACACATTCGTCGTTTAATTCGATTCTAATGGATACAATGTGGATCTTGCGTATCCGTCATGGTATCCATGATAACATTTCTGAAAGGTGCGTCACGTATCTTCGTACCCTCGCTAGTGAGAAAGAAAAGGTAACGTAGATAAGGAAGATATATACGTACGAGTCCGGCATTAAGAAAGAACCCAAAAGGACACTCGAAAAGGAAAGCGAATCACCGAAGGCTTCAATTGCTGTCAACAACGACGAGTCGGAATAATCGAAACAACTCGCACGTTAACTATGCAAAATAACGATACAGAATAGAACAAGATTGACCGCATTAAATGGAACACCGAGACACGATACGATGGATACGGTCAGATGAGTATCGTAACACCCCTCTCGATGTATCTGGATGTATCACTCCGTTGGCATTTGCCTCTCGCCTGCGTCTTGACTTGTTTCTGACGTCATTATTTCCGCTGGGCAGCACTGAGCTCGTAAGATCGGTTATAGAGCGCGCCCGGTCTACGCCCGAAATCTCATGCCGCGTTTTCAATGAGCGATATAACAAATTTCTCAACAGAGAAATCAAGAAAAAAAGACGATCCGCAAAGATCGAAATTGTTTCGAAAAAAGAAAAGCGAAATATTTTTAGCAAAAGAGAATATTTTGAATTACGAATATTGTTTTTTTTTCTTTTCAAGCTGAGAGCGATTTGCTAACATTTCATTAGCTGGATAAATTTTTAAGATCACTATGATTTTAGATGAAATCAATGAATATAAAATTAGACGATATACATAAATATCATTCGAGAGCAATCTTAAATATGAAATCGAACTATATATATACGCTTAAATATTTTACTGAGAACTTGTGACCGTGACAATCAATTATTCTTCCTTGTAGAAACAAATTGCTGAAAAAACCAGACTAATCTATTAGATCATATTTTAGTCAATGCCGTTAGAGGCTCACAATAAAAGGAATAGAGAACAGAGAATAAGAATTTCAACCTATCAGAAATCACGTATTATAGAATACACAGTTTCTGATAGGTTGAAATTCTTAGAGGCTGCGCTCAATAAAAGGAACAGGGAACAGAAAATAAGAATTTCATCAGAAACTGTGTTTTCTACAATACATGATTTCTAATAGGTTGAAATTCTTATTCTCTGTTTCCTATTTCTTTTATTGTGCGGAACCCTTATACTTAGCGCATTCATACTTTAATAAAGCGGAAAACGAAAAAGCAGCAGCCAATCAGAACTCTAGCTGGTAATTTACAATTTCGGCTTTTTGTACTGCTTACTACCAGTACGAGTTCTGATTGACTGCTTTTCCGCTTTCTACTTTTCCATCAAAATGTAAACGCGCCCTTACACCATGGACTCTCGGTTCATTTCGGTTGAGTTCGACTAAATTCAACCGATGGTGACCGAGGAACTCTTCGATTGCTTCGGATTGTGGTTCGCACGCCGATCAACGCCGATCTTGCCATAGCTCGTTTTATCGTTCGTAGTGTTCATACTCGTCTATCAATCATCGTCCGCATTTTTATTTAGATTCTGCGAATACGCTAGATTCTCGAATACGAAAGTACGTCATCCGCGCGACAGGAAATAGTATAGGTACGATGTCGCACGGCGGCAGGAATGAGTGTAGAATATATGTGGGCAATCTGCCACCGGACATTCGTACGAAGGACATCCAAGATCTTTTCTACAAATTCGGTAAAGTTACTTTCGTTGACCTGAAAAATCGTCGAGGCCCGCCTTTCGCTTTCGTTGAATTCGACGATCCAAGGTGAGTTATCAGCGTGAGAGATATACACGAATTCACGTTGCATCGTGTGGCGTATCTCTCCGCCTATTTACACGTACATAACTCCCGTTTCAACGTCATTAATTCGAGCCGTTTGCATGACCTCGTGCGCGACATCGGACATGAAGCGTCGCGACGTAGTTTATCGAATGAAGATGACGAAATCCATGAATATGTATTTTGATCAAGAATTATTTGCTTCTCTTGCACTTGTGGAGCAATTTTTCTTGACTCATGCGAATAACGAAAAAATACTATTGTTTTTGCAAACGCAATAATAAAATTCTTTTTCTTTACAAAAATCGCAAAATATTTAAATTGTTAACTAGAGAAAAAAATTTTAAAAAGTTAAAAAGATATAGTACCGTCTAATGATGGAAATATAGAGTATTCGTAAATCGTAAAAAATCAACAGTCACGAAGAGAACAATTTCGATTTTGTTTGATTAATTTCTTACAGTTTATAGCTTACTGCGCAATATTTCCATTTATGAATGGCCCATAAAATATCGTTTATTTGCTATACAATAATTCAAAATTATTTTTGAGTTGTTTGCAAAAAAAGAACAGTGACATAAAAAATATAATTTAACGAACATTTTTATTTCTCTGTAATCTTGTATCAAAATTGCATTTTAAAGTTAATATTAGATTAATATATAACATAAAATTTATGTAACATAAAATTTTAATGATTTAAAACATTAAATTTATTTTCTGGAAAATTTTATTTTTTTAATTGTATCGTAATTGTAGCAAATTAGCGATATATATTTTAAGATAAAAACAAAGTATACTACATCGTTTCAAGTATAAATTTTTTCTTGTTGTATATGTTATTCAGATCAGTTTTGGCTTATTTATAAATATTTATAATTTCCGTTCATTACAATATTTAACACGATTAATATTGTAATATTATTTTGCAAGTTCACTAAAGATTTACAAGTAGATATTCTACATGAAAATTACATAACTTTGTTTACTTTGACTTTAGTAATGAATAACGTTCGTTTTTCAGAGATGCCGAAGATGCGGTACATGCAAGAGATGGTTACGACTATGATGGCTACAGATTGAGAGTCGAGTTTCCACGTGGGGGTGGTCCTAGCAATAATTTCCGTGGTGGACGTGGAGCTGGAGATAGTGGTAGGGGTGGCCGCGGTGAGATGAGCAATTCTCGCGGTCGCGGTCCACCTGCTAGACGATCACAATACAGAGTCTTGGTTAGTGGTTTGCCACCGTCGGGAAGCTGGCAAGATCTCAAAGATCACATGCGCGAGGCTGGTGATGTCTGCTTCGCAGACGTATATAAAGATGGCACTGGTGTTGTTGAATTTTTGAGACACGACGACATGAAGTACGCTGTGAAGAAGTTAGATGATTCGAGATTTAGATCTCATGAGGTATGATCCTCTACTATTATCCTAATCATAAAGATGTATATGCTATAGCATTCGTTTTGTCTCTTAGGAGCTGCTCGAGGTCGCTTTGAATGAACTCATGAGCATATTTGAAATGTAGGATTCACACTATGTATGACATCATTATATGACATTCGACAATGAATGTTAGATGTCGTATGATGGATGTCATATGTGTACGTAGTGTGAATTCTATTTCAAATACGCTAAGTTCATTCGGAGCAACCCCGAGAGATAAAACGAACAAAACTTATATTACACTATGAGTTACTGGTTTCTAGTTATTCTGTTTTGTTTCAGTCAATCACGATACAGCGTGTTTGGACTTATCGTAATTGATTGAAATAGAACCATTAATTGGGAAACGACAACTCATAGTCTGATACCAGACTGTTGATGATTATAATGCTTTATAATTCTTTATAAATAAAATGTTTTTCAAATATTTTTGAGCAATTGTACTTTGATTTTTTACATTTTGTATGCTTTGATTATTTGATTTAATATCTAGGGTGAAGTAGCTTACATCCGTGTGAAGGAAGATCACAGTGGTGGCGATAGAGGACGCAGTGAAGATAGAGAAAGAGGTCGTACTCGTTCACGTAGCTACAGTCCACGACGTCGTGGTTCTCCCACTTATTCGCCGTTGCGACGTAATTACTCGCGATCAAGATCTCGTTCCAGATCTCGCTCTTACGACTAGTATGTACGTATGTGTTTCACATGGTAATATAAGTACAGGTTTATATTGATATTTACTCTTTACCATGTTTCATTATTGCTGATTTAAATTTCACTGGATAAAAATTTCCAAATCTAATTCAAACACCGATTTTGTAAAAAGATTTAAATTATTTTCTTAATATTGCTTGAATTTAATAACTAATGTATTAAATACAATCAATTTAGCAATTGATTGTATTGTATATCTGATGTATAATTAGAGCACGGTTTATTTCATACATACATACGTCACGATTATTCTTTAAGTTCCTTGCTTTCCAAATAAGCATATCTTATCATTCGACCCAAAAGCAAGTTAATTTAGCGATTTCATTTTTAGTTGTTATTCTAACAAAAATTTCATATCATTGAACTTTTTAAGATGATTACCTAAGATATGGTTATTGTATCGAATTTTATTAGCCTCAAAAATGAAATCGTGCTCGAAATCACATGTAACTGTTTATCATTCAAATTGTTGGATTTAATTTTCTACATTTAAAGATACATTCCTCCACATATTTGCCAAGTTCTTTTGTCATCACTACTACTTATGAAATGTGTAACAATTTTGAAGTATTAATGAGTCTTTTGACAAAAAAAGACTACTTAGACCTTAAACTCTTAGCTATGAATTATATATATATATATTCTGGTTTTTATTTTGATATAGATAAACAAAAAAAATTGATATCTGCGATGAATATTTTTACTAGACAATAACTTTATACTTTTCGTTAATATACGTTTCTAACAATGGCGGCTATTATTATACTCAGGCCTGGAGCCAGATTGCACATTTCGATTGATTTTGCCTACCATCATCCTACTTCTTTTGTTTTATAACATTTAGATTGCGCGCAGACATAGAACGATCGAGAGACGATATTAATTGTAAATTGTACAAGGTACTGTAAGGCTATAGGACTTCGAAACATATTGCTCCACATTCACTATTTACAGAATTTATTATTATTATTAATATTTGGATGTTAAAAAATCAAAAATAATATTTCAAAATATATTTACGTACATTATATATTTTTATATATATTATATATATATTAAATATATAATTTTTATATATATATATTAAGAATTATATTTTTTTTTATGTTTTTGAACTTAAGATTTTTTTTTCAGTGTACACACTTAACATATCTGTTCTATTTTGAAGTGTTACTTTTGATTTTCTAATATCTAAATCTAAATAATATTCATAATAATAATAATAAAACTCTAAACAGTGAACGCGAGACAATATATTTCGAAATTCCTGATTTAGCTAATATCGTCTTTGAACTCGATCATTCTATGCCTCTATGTGCAGTCTAAATATTACGAAACAAAAAGAGTAGGAATGACAGTAAGTAAAATCGGTCGAAATGTGCAACCAGTTTCAAGCCTGACTTAAGTCTTAATTTGTACTTGGATATACTTTACATAGTAAAACATGAAATTTTTAAGCTTGCCTAACACAAAGGTTTTTCACTGATAATCTCTCATAACTGTGAATTTACTAACATCCTTGTAGCCGAAATCATCTTAATACTTATTAAAACAATTTTATCTCCCATATTATAAAAATTCTAAATTTTATAGAACACACAAGAATATGGGTAAACTGTTTATACTGACATATTTAAATACACATTTTATAGATACTAATAAATACAAAACATATTTTAGCTTAAGATGCCTTTCTCTCGTCATAAGTTTTAAAGTTACTGATATTATTGTAATAACGCAGTAATTTTATATTATAATATGATAAATACTGCATATCCTAATCGCCTGAATTAACATACTATTATTAAATATATAATTGAAGTGGAATAACAGTGATGTTAGTACATCATGTATGTTAAAAGTTGTGCGCTACTGCTTAGCTGCAGATTCCTTAACATATTTCCACTTTCCAACAAACTTTTGTTAAAAAATCCGTAATTTAAGAGAAGAGATTACATAATATGCAATATACATGCGTCTTATGTATATACGTGCGTCTTTGGCAATAAAAAATAAATTCAAATAATAGCATGCTATGTATTTATATTTATCTTAAATATATCTAAAATATATATTTTTTATCTAGAATATG